TGGTGATGTACATTATCTCTAATAACACGAATATAATCTAAATAAATGTATAACACGCATATGTATTTGTATACTGTCTGTCAACCGTACAGAAATAATAATAGGTAATGATAACCTATTATTATTATTGCCTGTATGCAGGCGCATAAACAAGGGGGAGTTTTAAAGGTTTACCCCCTCCCCCCCCGACAAAAAAAAGTTCAGGAAAATTATTAGATACATTTTTATAGAACAAAAGTGGTTTATAGATTATACAAGTATGAAAATATGCAACACAAAACCTCCCACAAAATATTTCTTTGTGTACGTGCCCGTCCATATGTACCTAGAGAGTATTATCTTGTAAATAGTAGATATATCTATACCTACAGGCCAACCGATTATTTGAACGTAAATCAGCTATACATATTTATGTATAAGTTACCTATATTAACATAATATGTAAAACTTGTATATTTTTGATTATTAGTGGATATTTTTTGCTACCTAATGTATTGAGTAGTTTTAAGTTACACTGCGGGCGATTATCTATTGATATGTATATACCTATATAAATGTGCGTGTGCTTTTGTATTATATAAACCAGGGGTCGGCAACCTTTTGAACCACGCGGGCCATATATTTTTTTAAAATGTTTATCAAGGGCCACATTAAAAACATTTTTTTTACATATGATATATACTAATAATTGTATTGCTATTATAACTGATTATTTTATATAGAAATATGAGTGTAAAAAAATAAGAATGTTACTGGAAAAAATTGCTTTTAAGAAAAAATTTAATTTTTTGACAAATTAAACATAATGGCTTACCTTTGTTTTCGACGAAAAAGTATAAATCAATCCAAAAATTATTAAAAAAAAACACGTTCATCACAAATTTTTCTTTTTTTAGTCGCCATAATGTTTGGATTTACTTGTAAAATGAAATTATTACAAACGCAGTCACACGTACGGGCGTAATCACGTTGTAATACTAATTGCTACAAACGCAAAGTAACTATGACCATAGATTAAATATATTAGATACATATGTATTAAATACATAGATTAATTTTTAAATATATATAAGTATATTTAATTTATTCTATGGATGAGTAATGCAACCATCATTATCTTCGACTCCAATTAGATAATAATAACAATTTTATAGATTAAACTGACTATATAACTATATAGAATAAACATCAACTATTAACGATTAGATTAGATTTTATTCATAAAGAAAAAATAACTGAATAGTATTGAAAATGGTTTGAAAAATTTTATTGAACAAAAATAAAACACAACAATTTACCATCTTTGTATGGGCCATAAAAAATTGCTTCGTGGGCCACATGCGGCCCGCGAGCTGTGGGTTGCCGACCCCTGATATAAATCATATCATGAATATGGTCGGTTGAATTTGAAATTTAACACGATGAGAACGAGCGAAAATGTAGACCGTATAAGAACCTAATAAAACGTAAAATTAGGCGTTTACCCGTATAAATAAGTGTTTAGAGAGGAAAAAATTAATAATTATTTGAATAAAACATCACGTTCTATTGCATTCAAAAAATACCTTGTTCTCGATGATGTTCTGTTCATAAAGACCTATGTCAAGGCCGTATGGGGGGGTCCAGGGTATCTTGGGACTCCCCTTCTTCTTCCTCGCCTTTCTCCCAACCAGTGGTGGCATGAACTTTTTTTGACTTAAATTTAATATTTTTACACCACCCGTTCTAAAAAAATTTCCACTGCTTTTCAAAAGGTGAAGTCATAGGTTTTTAGTGAATAAGTAATTGGTATTTAATTGGTATATACAGATACTATTTATAACCCTGTAGTCCCCTAAACCAATTACATATATCATATAACGAATCATCCACCCATTAATATTTCTGTGAATCACGTGATTCAAATATACCTTCTTCGAGCCGTCACTGCTCCCAATTATTTATATATATATATGAGGCCCTTTATTTTAAATTTTCTTGAGTCCTTAAAAACACTTAAATTATGATATTTGTCCTTTTTAACACATGTGCACAATGTAAGTATTAATAACTATTTAATTATATACTTAAATAGTAAAAAGTTAATTTTTATTTGAATCTCTGTTATTTTATTATTTACTATAAGAATTTCAAAATGTTTTGGATCCCGGTTAAATGGTTTAAGTAAGAAAAATTCATTGATAGGTATTAATTTCGAAATGAAGTGAGACAAGTTCTTGGAAATCAGTAGGTACGTCTGGACGCTAGTTAATATGGTCGCACTGTATTATAATCTTATCGATCGTGATGATCTGCAAAATTTATTAATTATTCATGACTTGTTCGACCAAGGCGATGATGCTTAGAAAATATTTACATCTATATATATATACATATATTAATCCATCCTACTGAGTATTTAATACCGTAGTTTTGCAATGGATCAAGTTATTTTGTATGTCGTGTGAAGTTCCTTTAAAAACAGAATTTTTCAAAAAGTGTTCTGTTATAAATTGCTCTTCTTTAGAAAGTAAATCTAAAATTTTACAATAATTTCCTTTATTTAAAGAACCTTCATTCTTGCGATGTCCGCTGAATGCCAATTCTTGTTTCCCTAAAAAACAAACTACATCGATTAAACAAACTAATATCTTTCTGTTTACGTTCACTTGTTTATTATGATTAATTGCAGTTAACCGACGACTTTCAGATATTGAATGTTCAATCCTAATTTTACCCAGCATATGAAAACTTTCTTTGTTAGTTAGGTTTTTTTTTTGAAATTTGGTGTTTTTCAGCTTCACAAACTAAGTGAACTACTTTACAAATAACAAACTACTTAATATTAGGAATACCATTTATATTCCACTCATCCTCTCCTCTGAACAAGACACATATTTAACAGTATAATTTCTTTCTTTCAATGCTTCCCGCTAACCAGTTAAATTTTGAATACCAAGACAATTGAAATTTTCTTAAAGTTTTTGCTTCTTTATATTCTAATGATAAATGTGGCATTGATCTCTTACCTTTTCAGTTGGATTTTTCTTCATACGAAAAAGAACCAAGACCTTCATTTAAAATAATATCAATAATATCTGACATATTAAGTTTTAAATGTATCACTTCATTAAGAAAAAATTATAAACATTAAACATGTGCCATTAACCACAGTCGGAATGCAATTAAATTATTAAAATATTACGTTGAGACATGTCTCTTCCATATGTCCGTCAAGTTAGCACTGGCACATTATGCTAGAGTTATGTAAATGATATCAAAAATTTGCTAGGAATTTGCTAGATTTTGCTGGGACATTTTTGGATTTTGCTAGGGCCCCTAAACTTTGATAATCCGCAAACAAACATGCCGGTGCTATCTTTGTGGGCGCACCGACACTATGTTCGATTTCAAAAATAAATATGTCAAATTATTCAGCTGAATTTGCTAGATTTTGCTAGAGCATTTTTGGAATTTGCTAGGGCTCCTGTCGTCCAAGGGGGAGGTTCCAAATTTGGCATCAGCACCGGCACGTTGTCCGATCTTAAAAAAAATATGTCAAATTATTCAGCCGAATTTGCTAGATTTTTTGAATGGGAATTACACGACGATCTTCAAAAAAAAAACAAGAAAAGTGTCGGAACCAAAATCTATAACTCCACATATCCTAGTTTATATTCAACCATAAAATATTTGTAAATTACACATAAAAAGTTTGTAAAATATATTCAATATTAAAATGTACTGTTAATATATCTTTATTTCGTTATAGAACTGAAATATTTGTAAAAAATCAGAAACTTAAAATGGGAGAAGTATGATTCCGTTGTAGGCATATACAATGTATATGATAAAATGTATATATATAGTCAAAATCCTATAGCATAGTAGATGCATAGTTGTCACACTGATACTTGAGAAATTACGAATAAGTGCCTATTGACTACTTAGAAAGGAATACGGATGATTAACGCTAGGTTGAGTGAAGTTACAAATGAGATGTTAATATGTGATTACTATGAGTAGTCAACTAACTCCGTATTATACATAGTATAAACTACCTAAGAACTGCATACGTTAATCACTAGGGCTCGGATTTATATGTAAATACATAATTTTTCTGTGATTTGATAAATTAATTTAGATTAGTGATAAATTTGTTTCAAAGGGTTTCCATTGAAATTAATTATATTTTATTTTACATATTTTTACATATTTTGCCATAAGTACATGATTTTACATATTTCTTAATAATTCCATTTTTCCTACATATTTCAACAAATTAAATGCTTTTACTTCAAAATAATCCATTTAACGTGTTTAGTACGGAATAGCAGAAACCATATGATCAAAATTGATAAAAGTAGGTAAATTAATATCTACAGTCAAAAAGATATTTTTAAAAGCTCCTAGCCAAATAGAAATATTTAAAAATATGTACCCCGATTTAAACTTCCTAGCAAAATCCAAAAATGCCCTAGCAAATTTTTGATACCATTTACATAACTCTAGCATAATGTGCTGGTGCCAACTTGACGGACATCTCTTCCATACATATAATTTTGATAATATCCCACTACGTCCCTCGTTTACCATGTCATACGCCCGTTGTCAATAGTGAGACACAATTCAATATGTCTCGACCGATTTGACGGCGACAACGGAGCGATTATGATATAGATAAGATATAAATAAAATTATACTATATATAGATTTAGTCATACTCGTTACTCACACAGACACCGTTGAGACGAATCAGTGTAAATAACATTTTATTTATAAAATGATGAAGAAATAAAATACTTATATAGTAGGTGTAATATCATATTATGATATACAACTAATTTTTAAAATTAAATTGTTTGATATTTTTGGATAGACAATGTCTCGTTGTCTACCCTAACGCGTCGCCACTGATATTGTTATATCACATCGGTCGGTCGTGTACACAGACTATGGTATAGAAGTTATATATACTATACTATAGTATAGAAGTCTGTGGTCGTGTATCAGTTGGTGCTTTATCGTCGACCGGTATGAACGTAGTTTCGTCTGTAAGCTTAAGATCGTGTACGTAAGCAGACGTGTTACCACGTTCATTCGTTTGCCGTTTAAATCGCGAACTCTTCGAGGTTATGTTGTTATTCGAAGGCGAAAACGCAAAAATCATATCACGAATCAGAATAATTGTAATCAATTTTGTGATTACAGTTTCCTTCCCGTAACAATAATGATAATCATCACAACGAATCGTTCGAATTATTGAATGCTGGTGAATCATCATCATGTTTATTTTCATCAAAGGCTTTTAGTGGGCAAGCTTGTACATATTGTTTACTCATTGGACCGGAAATAGGTGAGTTATAACATTCTGGTAACGTTTTACTTGTATTATTTCTAAACGATATTATTACATCTTGCTTTCGTGCTTGCGTCTGTTAACTACACTCAACGTCGGCCGTTATTACATAATGTCATTTTCTATGACCTGGCTAGGTAAAATAAAGTCATCCGATATTTTCAATGACACTTTAATTATTATTATAACCGTATAGCGGTCATCGAAGTTTGGTTGCATTGAATCATTTTTTTGGTCACCTACCAAATGTTATTAGTGATAAATTAATCTTGTTCCGAATATTACTAATTAGGTATATTTTATTTAATGTGATTTTTATACATTACAATCTTAATCCGTCACATAATGTCATTATGTACAAATCTTGCGCAATAGTCAAATACTTTTACAAATAATTTATTGTGTTTCTATTTTTATAGATCTATTGAATACAGAGAGAATGTTTTGTCCGAATGGTTCCTTTATTGACTTATGGTCAGATGTCAAGACTTCAGAATGTTTTGTGGATACAACAATAGCATCAATATTGGCTGTATTCATGATTTTTTTTGGTACCGCACAATGTTCAATTTATGGGAAATACAGTACTCCTTTATCGCAGGCTGCAATTCCTCAATCCAGACTATACTATGTACAGATGATAATTACTTTTATTTTTCCACTGTTAGCCGTGGCTAAGTTTTTTGTTGACATATATTTATTTCAAAGTGGTGTTGCTTATGGTTATCAAGTATGTTATTATGATATCTCTATAATTAAGTATGTATTGTTTAACTAAATTGTATTTTATTACATTAAATGTTATTTTACTTTTATAGTCTCTGTATATGCTTACCATGGTGTTTGTATTTCCATTATCTGCCAAACTTGTATTGATGGAAAGAAATAGTCTTTTACCATCAATGCCAGCCCGTGGACATGGTCTAGTGTTACTTATTTTCTGGATATTAGTTTTTGTTGCTCAAAATGTTAATGTTCTAATTGTCAAAAAAGAAGATTGGTGGATTCAATTACAAAAGTTAGTGTATCATTTTTAATACAGTTAGTATTTTACCAAATCAACCTATAATAACAATAGCTATACATTTTCAGCATAAATGGTCAAATTGAATTCGGTATATTTGTTGCGAATTATATTTTGAGTTTCCTATTATTAATTTTGGGTTTAAAAGCACCTGGAATAATGACTGCCAGAGATTATTTAAGTCTCCATAATTCGACAGATTTGTTTTTAGATGTAAGTATTTCATTAAAAAATGATTTTATCACACAAAAAGCGGTTGTCTGATTATATGCTTAAAAATTTAAATTTTGAAATATTTTAATATTGTGATATCATGTTTAAACACTTTTAATTATAATTTATATATTTAATTTTTTTGTACATAACCTATTTGGGTCAAAGAATTTTTAGTGTTCTATGCAATCTTTTTAAATTATTATTTTATTTATTATAGTTCTCTAATATTTTTGTATTTTCAATTAATTATAAAACCTCTTATCAATTTACTATATATTTTTTTATTAAATTTATAAATTTAACCTAACCATTGTTTTTGTAGTGATTAAAAATATAAAATTAATTTTACATTTATTTTACCTAACTATTTATATTATATTAGATGACATGGTTTTTGATGTTAAATCACTAATTTTTTTACTTAAAGTATGTTTTTTACCAAACAATTTTTGTAACATTTTATCTTATTAATTTTAATTAATATTGTTTTTTCCAGAATTGATTTAAGTTTATTAATTAATGTTACCTTTTTTTTTTATTAGAGGTCAAATTACATTCCTAGTAGTTACAAATAAAAAAAAGGGCTTTTCCTCCATTTCTTATTTTTAGTTTATAATAAATAATAATATCTAATTTATTTATTTTTAAAGTATTAGAAAAGACAGTTTCAAATTTTATAATTTTTTTTTTTTTAATTTGAATCGCTAATAATAAATGTTTGTCAGTTGTCATAATTATAATTAATTTGAATATTTGTTTAAAGAACTTATTTATTTCTTATCTATATTAATTACTAGTTATCTATAGAAATTGGTTTAACATTTTATTCTTTAAATAACTTTGGTAATTTTAATAATTGTAATAACTAAAGGAAGATGACTGTTTCATATTTTTATATTGTTTATGTGTTTGTATTGTTCAGTTTTTCCTGACAACATATCAATTTAATTTTTAATTTTTTTTACAAAATAACTATTAATTTTTGAGATATTACTATAATAATATTGTATTTGATGACCGAAGGTACTAATATGAAAGAGAAGGTAAAATAATTTATTGTAATATAATTTATTATTATAACTGTAATGAACATTTGTTGTATACATTTTTAAATTTAAAAAATTTAATACTTATATGAAATGAGCTAAAGCAAATTAACAAAGATTTACTGTAAGATAAATTAAAATTAATCTTAATTTACAAAAAAAAAACTGTGCTAGCGTTTAAATATTAAATTTTGAAAAAAAGAGTATAAGTCTGCCATATTTTATAATTATTTTATAATTAGTTGTATACAAAAATTTTAGTACTTAAAGCTTGAATATTGAATAAATGTTTTTTCTAAATATTTTCTTTGTAACCAAAAAATTGTAAAAAAATTTCTGAAAGAATGTAAAAAAGCTTAGTAAATATTAGAAAATTTAATTTTGATGAAATAGAGTATTACAATGAACTTTGACTATACAATATTAGTTATTTGATTGTTATTCTATATATATATAAAGAATCCAAAACATTTACTGAGTATTTATATTAGAATTTTAAAGACTATATAACATTTTTGAAATATTTTTATGAAATTTGTGCTGTTTACATAAATTAATTTAAAATTTTCGATTTTGCCCAGATTTTAATTAATTATAGTCTGATAAAATTGTAATAATAGAAAGTTGTAAAATAGATAAAAAAAATCTAGGTTTTGGGAGTCTACAGTAAACCTATACATTTGTGTATTCTTTTTTTAAACTGATCAATCATTGGGTTATTTTGTATTAATATTTAGTTAACCTACACAAATGTGTAGTTTTTTTGTAAAATGGATAACATTGGAGAGGGCATAATAGTATTTTTAATATTATTCACTTATCTACCTAGATGCTTTTATTTTTTTGTAAGAGTTAGAACATTAAAAATTAATCAATCTTATCAACAAATTTGGTTCTATTATTGTATCAAACTTTTCTAGAAGTATAAACTGATCCACCCTATTTATTTTGTTTAAATATATATTTTTTCAAAAATAATGTTACATTATTAATTACAATTGTAATTGTAAGGTGTTTTGTAATTTATTCATAAATTATTATAACAACTTTCCAACTTCAGAAAAGTAAGGAAAAATATATTTTATCATGTTTTATATTGAAAATACTAGTCTCATGTAAATATCTTGTCTAGTAAAACTGTTTATTTAAGATAATATTTCATTATAAAGATTTAAATAATTGAATTTATTCAAAATCTAAAAGATTCTAAAAAAAGATCTAAAACGATTACTTCTTTAGTTGTGAATTTAAAAAAAAGACCTTTAATTTTCCAATCATAAAGTAACCATATAATTACTTTTTGCAACTTTATATACTAAATTATAATATTATATAGTAATCCTAATTTTTTTATTGCGAGTTATTTATAATCAATCAGGTTTTCAATGAGTGACTTTGTAGTAACCCCTGTCAATAATAGTTTTTCTTGTTTGTTTAATTTTTTTTCTATTAGGGATAAAACTTTACATTAAGGGTGATTAACCTACTTGTTTAATTTTGTATTACATTATTTTTGATAAACATATACATTACGCTATTTATTGACATTTTTTGTTGTTGAATTTGTTCAGTTTTATAAAGCTTTAACTTAGACTATCTATGTATATTCAATCAATGATTTTTATTTATATGTAAAATTGTCAAAGAATAATTAAATAACAAGGGAAAATGAGGTTCAGATAGTTCAAATTTTTCAAAAGTTCTAACTTAAATAATTAATTTCATCCATATAATATTGTGTCATTTGAATATTATTAGTATTTCATTCTTACATAATACTGAAATAATATGCTGTGTTTAAGCTAAGCACTTAATCAACACTACTTTTAGATTATAGAGTTCATTATTATAAATCAAAATTTGTGAATTATATGTAATCCATTTGAAGTCTCTATGGCAAATGTTATCACTTTATATTTGATAAAAATTTCATTTGCAATATATATTTTGTGCAATGTACATATTTTTATCAATGAAGATATTTTTGTTTAAGTTACTATTACACTTAATCAAACTAAAAATGTATTCTTCGAGGCCTTTTTTTGGAATATGTATACTTGATTCTAAATATTTTAATTTATAAAACAATAATTCTTATTAATGTTATAGTCTGATCGTGTGGAAGAAGTATCAACATGGGACAACGTAGTGCGAAAAGTAAAATTGATAGCTCCTTTCTTATGGCCAAAAAATAGTCTGGCGTTACAATTTCGAGTAGTTTGTTGTATTTTATTGGTCATAGCTGGAAGAGTAGCCAATGTGTATGTTCCACTTTATAGCGCGAAAATTGGTATTTTTTTAATTTTAGTTTTTAATTTTAAGTAAAGCTTCATATAATATATACTGTTCTGTTCTGTTTTTTATTTATTTCTAACTTTTGCTCAAAATAGCTTTTTGAATGTTATAATTCTTTATTTCATTCCATTTTTTATCAGTATACATTATAGTGACCTACTTGATGATTTAATTATATTATACATCTTAAAAAACTTTTGTTAGTATGTTGTATATTTAAAAAAAAATTAAATACTCCGTCAATGTCCTCCTTCTCATTAATTCATACACCCCAGTGCTAATATAAGAGGCTTTATAATTATTATTTTTTAAATTATTAATTATAAGTAATATACTTTATTTAAATTTTAGTTGATAGTTTAACTGCTGTTCCACTTGTATTCCGATGGGATTTAATTTTAATTTATATTGGTTTCAAATTCTTACAAGGAGGCCTTGGCATGGGATTCTTAAATAATTTAAGGAGTTTTTTATGGATTCGAGTACAACAATATACAAAACGGGAGGTTGAAGTAAGTTTTTATTATATAACATAGGATTACAATATAATATATTTTTGTATTTAATATATTATACAAATTGAATACATTTTAGATATCATTATTTCGCCATTTACATAACTTAAGTTTAAAATGGCATTTGGGACGTAAAACTGGTGAAGTTCTAAGAATTATGGACCGAGGAACTGACTCAACTAACAGCTTGTTATCGTTTATACTTTTCAATATTGGACCTACTATCATTGATATTTTAGTGGCAGTTATATTCTTTTTATCATATTTCAATTGGATGATGGGAACTGTTGTTTTCATTACAATGGTTTTGTATATAGGTAAACAATTTTATTTGTATATAGTGATAATTTTAATCACTCTTTGCATTTTCACCTTAAGTGTACCAATCTGCCTCTTGCATTATAAACTACAACGCTCCTTTCTCAGTATTTATGCATTACAATTTCTTTTTTCGTTAATCCACTCTAATATTATCATAATTTCAAATTCTTATTTCTGTTTTCTTTAAAATTGAATCCTTTTAATTCTTGAACCTACTATCCTACTTTTTAAAATAAATAATTACTTCACCCACTCTTCCTATTATACGGAATCATTGAAATTCTTCTGATTCCAAATTGCTTTATTCTTGGAAGTTAGATGGGTAACTTAATCGTCATCTACATATAAAATATAACTATTCCTTACTCGTTTACCATAAAACATTGAAGAAATCCAATCGGGTTTTATTTAAATTCATAAATGTTTTGTTTTTTATTTTGCTTATTTGTACATGAAAAATACATGTATTTTAAATGTGGTTCATTGAAATGTGTGTGAGAAATTTTTACAATTTAATAGTATTTTTCAAGATGTTTTTCTTGTTTTTTACTTAATATCTTGTATAAATTATATTGAAGAATATATTCTTTAGTAAATATATTTCAAATAATAATAATAATATAAATTAAAATAAATTTTTAGTATAAACAAAATATAATTTATAATATTAAATTAAAAGATCATTATGAAGGATAATTTATTTTTACACTACATTAAATTAAACATTAACTATTATATAAGTATAAAATTAATAATAATTTAATAACAAATTATAGTGAAAAAACATATATTTCTTAAATTCAGGCAAAATGGTCTTTTTGTACATTGATAAAGTAATATTTACCTTTGATACAACTATATAACTATACAACTTTTATATACAACTAGTTTTGCTGATGATATATTTATATGTATAAATTATAAATATCTTCAAATTCATAAAATTGACAGCAATTTTTGTATAATTAAAATGTTTTTAATGATTTGGTATTTTTTGTTTAATGTAATACTATTTATGATTAATTGATGAATTAATAAAGATATATATTTTGTATTTTTAGCATTGACAATTATCATAACAGAATGGAGAACTAAATTTCAGCGGCGAATGAATGTAGCAGATAATAGTATGAAAGCTCGTAGTGTTGATTCTATGTTGAATTTTGAAACTGTTAAATACTATGGTGCTGAAGAATATGAAGTTCAAGCCTACAAAGAAGCCATTATGATTTATCAAGTGAAATAATTTTTTTTCATATTAGTATTTTAATAGTTACATTAAAAATTACCTATTAATTTTGATAAATTTTTTATTTTGCTTACTTAGAATGAAGAATTCAAAACACAATTGTCTTTAGCTATGCTCAATACAGTTCAGAATATTATTGTCTGTACAGGATTATTAGCTGGATCTTTACTTAGTGTGCATTTTGTCATTGATGATAAAGCTTTAACAGTAGGTGATTATGTGTTATTCACTGTGTACATCATTCAACTTTATGGACCTTTAAATTACTTTGGCACATTTTATCGGTATTAATAAATAATTGATTTTGAAGTTAAATTTTAAAATTATTTAATTATTTTATGTTTAATTTAAATATTAATTTGATTAGAGCAATTCAAAAGAACTTTATCGATATGGAGAATATGTTTGATTTGATGAATATAAAACCAGAGATTACTGATGCTCCCAATGCCAAAGAATTGGAATTGAAAAATGGACAAGTTGAATTCCGCAATGTAACATTTTCTTATCAGCCTGAAAGATTGGTTTTGCAGAATATTTCATTTGTAGTACCTCCAGGCAAAACATTGGCTTTGGTTGGACCTTCAGGTAGTGGAAAAACAACAATAGTAAGATTGTTATTTAGATTTTACGATGTTGATTCTGGATCTATTATCATTGATGACCAAAATATTCAACTTGTTACCCAAACATCACTTAGAAAAGCTATCGGTGTTGTTCCACAGGACACTGTTTTGTTTAATAACAGTATTAAGTATGTAAAAAAAATAATCAAAATAAATATTAAATTTTAATTTAAATTTGATTATAGATTTAATATAAATTATGGGAAAGTAGAAGCTAATGATTCAGAAATAATGAATTCTGCTATGGCAGCTGAAATACACGATAGAATTATGAAATTCCCGGATTTGTACGATACACAAGTAAGTTTTTTTGTGTTACAACCCTAGTTTTCTATTTCAATGTTTAGTGAATTGTTTTATTGAAAATATTACAGGTTGGTGAAAGAGGACTGAAACTTAGTGGAGGAGAAAAGCAAAGAGTTGCCATTGCTAGGACAATACTTAAGGCTCCTGCCATTGTGTTATTGGACGAAGCCACAAGTGCTTTAGATACCAAGACAGAAAGGCAGATTCAAGTTAATATAAACAAGAGAAGGATATCATTTAATCGAATTTACATTCATTTTCATTTTTAATTAATTTAGGCTGCATTGGATCAAGTTTGTAATAATCGCACTACAATTATTGTTGCTCACCGGCTGTCGACTGTTATCCATGCAGATGAAATTCTTGTGTTAAAAGATGGGGAAATATATGAACGAGGAAGGTAATTAACCTAGTGTATAACCTATTATTATTTATAAATATAATTTATTTTAATATATAATATTATTTTGCAGACATGATGATCTTATTATAAGAAATGGTCTATATGCAGATATGTGGTCCGAACAACGAAAATCTGCAAATGATGTACCTACCCATGATGATCAATCAAACTTATCAAATCCTAATGATACAATTACAAAGAGTTACCACCACCCACATGTTTAAGGCATCTATAAAAAATCATAAAACTAAATGGGTTATGGGATACTGTTTGAGTGTTTAGTCTGAGATATCCTACTTTATTAGGCTAGTGACTATTTTTACTTAATAGCAAATTATTATGTTCAATTTTACTTTTAACTGTGTTTACTTGTAATACCCCAGTTAATTATATTGTTACTCGACCTTCAATCTATTCAGTGAGAAATACTATAGTTCTGTTATAATATATATTTATACATTATTTTATTGTATTATATTATTTAATTTAAATTTTTTTGTTTAAATTAAATGTTATTATCAGTTTATCAGGATTCGTATAGTCAGTATTTTCTTGTTATAGAGGTGTTCAAATGTACATAATTACTAAATAATAAAACTTAAGTTGGTTTTGAAAAAAAATTATTACGCCATTTTTTTTTTTTTTTTATAGTATTAGTCTTATTTTTTTAAATATGAAACACTTATTAAATTATTGTTTGTATTTATAAAAAATTAAAATATTCTCAAAAATGATTGTTTATAATTTTTGTAGTTAAAACCAATGACTTAAATAAATGCTCTCTGTGGTAAAATGAATCTATTTGGTTAACAAATTACTAAATCTATGTTTTAGAATTCTGTTTAATTATTATGTACTTATTAAATTTGTTATTGTTATGTTAAGAAAATTGTACAAACAATTGATAAAAATTTCTAATTTTAAGAATATATTTATAGTCATGATATAATTTTGTTTGCACATATTATATTTTCACATAAAGAACTAATTTCTATATGATTGTTATTTTAATCAAATGAGTATGAAATTGGTTTATGTCAAGATGTAACAAGATATCTTGTGACACCAGTGAGATGTACAAGTGCTTGAAACACACTTCAATGACCAGATTCAAATCAACTATGGCTTGGCAGTTTTGGTAATTTAAGTCATAATCTCTGTGATTTTTTAATAGGTCTGAAACCAAGAAATACATTACATACCTTGATATAATATAAATATTGTTTTTACAATGAATTTGTCATTCGATCATCGTTTGATCCCTCTCTGATGATTTCCGATGTGATATCAGAATTGGTTGCTTTATCGTAAAAATAAGTTGTTTTAAACCCTTCCTATACTTGTTTAATTATTCTTATCCTACTATTCGATATTTTTGTCACTTTTCTTTGACCTTTAATTACTTCAAAATCAAATATTTCTTGCTAGATTTTTGACAGTTTTACTATGAGCAAATTGAATTACAGGTAAAAAAAAAAACAACAATGTTATTGTTCACAATAAAACTTATAAATTAATAAATATAATTTATATTATTATTTATTATTATTATTATTACTTATCATATTAATATTATAAAGAGGAAAGATTTGATTGTCTGTTTGTATTGAATAGGCTCTGCAACTATAGAAAATATGGTTAGACGTAGTGGAAGAAGACTTTGACCAAATGGGTGTTCAAGATTACAAAGAATTAGCCCGAGAACGAGAAAAATTGAGAGGTTTATTGATTAAGATGAAAACTCTTAGAGGGTATCAAGAGCTAGATGAAGGAAAAGAAGAATTTAGATAAAAAGAAATAAGTCATCAGTTGTATGATGCAATATAATATAATACAACTAATGACTTATTTCTTTTATTTAAATTAATTTGTTTTCAATTGTATTGATTGTAAATTGACATAATTATTTAAACAACAAAATCCTAGTTATTTCATCATCTCTTTAATCCCTTTCCATGCAATACCTAAATTTACCCCTGGAAGAACCCCCCCTCCCAAGAGTGGAAATCACTGATCTAGAACTTATTAGTATTTACCGATGACTAGTTTCAAAACTTTTGTTCCATTGTCTGCAATTGATTTTTCCAAAAGAAAACATTTTGGCTCGATTCTGGAATTTCATGGTTCGGCAGCAAAAATATGATTTGATGTTGAACAAATATAATTTATTATAAAAGGAAAGCGATTGAGGATTAGTAGAAATACAACATAGTATGATTTTGGAGGAAGATACCAAGAAGTTGAGAGTATGAGGAGACCAATGACATTAAGTGTTGATGTGATAGGTGAAGTCGAGAACTAAATATTTCGGATCATTTGTACAAAAATACGGAGGTTTTGGAATGGATGTAAAAACACATGAATAAGTGGATGAAATGAATAGAAGTATCGGGCGTTTTATGTGATAAGAGAATTCAAAAGAGGTTGAAAGGTACATTTTACTGGAGCCTAGTTGAGACCAACTGTGCTATGTGCAGTGGCGGTTCGTGGCTTGGACGACGGGACGAACGCACCCCTACTAAAGTTAATGAAAAGAAGAATACTAGTTGTATGTTTACGAATTTTTAAAAAAATAACTTTTATTAAACTGTATTTTTCGAACAACTAACTACATATAATACATAATATGATTTATTACATACATTTTATCGTATCGAACATTAAATTTGTTTCCTTCAACACCGGAAGTGTACATATAGTGTGTACGCATGTAAACACGAACACTGAGCAGTGTTTGGTCGACCGGCAGCATTGTCCCATACGGTAAAATATTAGTAATTACTATTACACTATGTTGTGTAATTTATTTTTAAAATTAACTTTGTAAACACTCGTCATTCGTTATCGGTCGTTATTGCCGATTATTATTTTTAAACATATTAGTGTGTTATTATTAAGGCTTGGATTTTAAAGCATAATAAATAACAAACAATTGTTTTAAAAAAGCAAACAAGTATATTATGAAGTATATTTTTTTTTAAAAAAAGCAAAAAAAAAAAGTATGAACAAAAACTAAAATGAATTAATTATAAAACTGAGTGAAATAAAATTGAAAAATTGATTTTAATTAAAAAAAGAATTAACAACCATAACATTACAACATTTTTTTTGCTACATTTGGTGGGCGGGTGGGTAACTTTTTTTAGTTGCATGTGCTCTCAAAATACTTCTGTGCGCCACTGAGTGGTGCCACCATTGTATTTGATGGATATCCATATGACTTAACTAAAATCACTAAATCAGCATAACGTTATCGAAGAGCAAGAAGTTATGAAGCTGCAAATGTTTTTTTTGACGAGACAATGAGTGCGATTATGTCTCAAGAGCAATTCCTATCAAATGATGCAAACAAGGAATGTCTTATATTTATTTTACAATGAAAATGAAAATGTTATTATGATGTCGATGATGTTGACGCTTTAATTGTTCGCAGTATTATAGGGCTTGCAAACAGTACAGATTGTGTTGTTATGGTGGGCGAAGACACTGATCTTTTGGTCCTACTGACAGCTCTGGTATCTTCATTTTGTTTAACATTTATTATTTGAGCCAGGAAAAGGAAAATCGGACCATATGTGTTATAGTGGTAACAATTTCAAATATATAAAACATGTTAAGAACAACATATTATTTTCCCATGCTTTCAATGGATGTGAAACAATTACAGCATTTTTCAGACAAGGGAAAATTAATATAAAGTTAATATAATATACGAATTTATTACAAACGTATTTCCAACGCATAATTGCCGTTCATTTATAACTGGTGGTTTAAAAGGGTCTAATTTCGAAATCTATTTTTAAACTTTCATACTTTGTCAAAACTATTAAATTGAACGTTAAATGCAAAATTACAATCTTTACAATTTAAGTAGTATGACTTTTTGTCGTATGTTCGACAAATTTAAAAAGAACCACAAAAAACTACAAAAACTAAAAAAAAAAAAATTAATTTTTTAAAAAAGAACTTTAAAAACGATAATTTTCAACGTAAATTATCAATCTTCATTTTTAACCAAGCTCATTATTTTATGGAGAATTTAGCGCTCTATATTTTAAACTCGATTATGTTTTTTGATAAAAATAATAGTAGTTTGTTTATTCTCAAAAAACTAGTCTAATTTGACTGGCCTATTATAAATAATTGTCTGTTTATATAGTAACACTTATTTTAACTGATATTTTTTAAATGGTTTTCAATAGAAACAAATAAATAATATTTAACATTTAAAAATTTTCAATAATTTGAGGACTAACATTTGATTTTTATACTAAATAATATTTAACGTGTAAAATAAATTAGTATCATGTCGAAAGTAAATATGAACCAGACACAAAGAAAAAAACGATATGGATCGTATTGGTCTATTTTCAGAAATGCCGTACTTGCTTGGTGACAAATATGACGAAATCGGAAAATGTAAGCGAAAATATTATTTTAAACGTTTTTTTTTTTTGAATATGTATTAATAATATGATTAATTTCAGCAAAACCCATTAGGGACTTGAAGTTTTCACAAATGTATCCAAGTGGAGTAAAAACCAAAAGTGGAGTACTAGACCATTATTTCGATAAAAAATTCAAAAGGTTGTATGAAAATGAAAAATGGAAATCGCCGTATCAAGGGCTTTATACAAGGTTATTATTTTTAAAAACTGGCCGTGCGATTTGATATAAATAACGAAAATCGACTGAATTTAATTATTTTTCTTAGATTTTATATTATTTAAAACGATTTTTAAACGTACAAAACACGAAAACAGTAATACCCTTCAACTTAATTTAATACCGGGCTTATACCTCTTCTACATTCAGCCGCTGCCCCTGCTACTCACGCCGCCGGCGTTTACTCCTCAAAATACGTCTGTGGCATCGTCGACTGCGGTAAGCGTTCACATTGCCTTGTAAATTATAGCAGCAGTAACTAATCGTACGTCCTCAGCCATTGCCATTGCTCCTCGCGCTGTCGAATTTACTTCCCGAAATAATTTACCGTCAGCGTCAGAACCAATGAGTGTTTACATTGTCCTGCTAATTTTTTAGCAACTTTACCGGCCGGGCAAATGCGTTTCGTGTTTATATTCTGCTCGATCAGCTACCGCCAAAATGGTCTTTCGCGTAATATTCACGTCATTTTGTTCACTCTTGCGCGCGTGCATTCCAATTGACTTAGAATGCGCCAAGCTGATTGGAGGAGCAACGAATCAGTAGTACAATTTCTAGAAATTAATGATACATATGTATGTTTAAACTCGGTGCCGGAGCTGCAATTATTTCTGTATCGTCCGTTTAGCGAGGTCGACCAGGAGCTTAAACTTTACTAGCAGGGACGCCCGGATGGGGGGGGGGCAGTGGGGGCCATTGCCCCTCCTGAGATTTTCGCGTCACTTACAAAATTGAAAGTTATTTTACATAAAGCTGATCTTGGGTATTCAGTGACTATTCGACAATCCTTGTATCTAATAAGTATCTAACATTTTTTTAATCAACAAATGATGATTCAATTAATTTATTTGCTTCGAACAAAAGGAGATTGACATTACTTTTTGAATAAAATAATAAAATATGATGCGAATTCAATCAAATAAAGTTGTTTTTTGTTTAAACTTTATTATATTTTTTCTTATAAATATTAAAACTAATAACTAATAATGTAATTTTATATAAACTTAAATGAGTTTTGATTTTTAAAAAATTATTAATGATAGTAATACAAAATATGAGTAGATGAAATATGTAGCAGTAAATCTTCCTATAAGTATTTGGCGTTAGGTGAATTGCGTCCCATTTCCATAAAACTAGGTGAATTGCGTCCCTGTTGTAATTTAATACTAGGTGAATTGCGTCCCTGTTATATTTTAATACTCGGTATGTAACAAATACATAAAATATACTAAGTTAATACATTAGTTGAAATATAATTTACAAATTAAATAAAAAAAATCCAATAAGTATATACAATACATTTTCATACTAAACATTAATAACATTTGTAGGTCAATTATTTAATTATTCGTCAATTATTTATGTAAAAAATAGTAAAATTATTATAAAAGTATATTAAACTGGTAAAAATTTAAATGAAACGGCTTTGACGTATTCAAATCTGGTCAGTAATTTATTATTATATTCAATCATTTTTTCTCCAATATAATTTTCTTTTTCGATAATTTGACGTGATTTTCTTTGTCCATTACTACGTAATTTTTATATATGTTTCGGATTGAATATTTTTTATAACATCAATAAAATTGTAAATATTTGGATGACTAGAGATAAATAGATTATTTAATTTAGAGTGGAATGCCTCACAACTATTGGTTGTCTGATTTGTTGTTGGTGTAAATTCAGCCCAGAGATATGGTGGAAAACTAGCATCTTTTGTAATGTAAGTTTTAAATATGTAATCTATGAATTTATTAATTTGTTCGTCTTCAATAAGTAAAATGGATTGCAAATCATTTTGAAAGCATTCTTCTACCTCATCTGAATGTAAGAAAGGCAACCCAAATAAATACTTTAAAAATTGCCCTTTTTTCAGAATTATAATCTTTAAAAACTTTTGTCAAACCAAGAGACTGTATTTTTCTCCACCAACTTTGCCCTAGATGAAAACGACATCCCTTAATTTGAGCTGTAGGTAATACATGTCTTACAGCAGAATGTATTGCGGATTCAAAATCGATGTGGACATATGTAGGAGAAAACAGGAAACCATTTGTATCACAATGATGTAATACATGTTTAAATAATTGCACATACGTTTCAGTGTGTTTGTTTTGTGGTAAAAAATATATAAGAGGCACGTAATTATCATTATGGAGTCCATGAATTGTAAAAACTTGCATAAAAAATTTTGGACACGATTTAAATGTACCATCAATATAAATATGTTGTACTTTGCATAATACCTCTAAATTTGATATCGTTGAAAAACCAACTATGCCATTTGGTTTGTCATTCACTAATAAAAATTTTTCCAGTTTATTGGTTTTTATTTCGTACACACATAAAGAATCGTGTAGTTCGGAAAGGCTATTCGGTAGTTTTGAGTGAACAGATGTACGTGCATAACGAATATTTCTTTTAATTAGTGCCACATCGCTAGTTGTCATTATTTTTTAATTCTACTTGTAAAAGTTTCGATGGTGTTGACGAAATATCATCTATAGCATTTCTTTTGAGAGAATTACTAATATTTTGTCGATTTAATAATTTTTGTTCTGGTTTTGGGTGATTATGCTCTTTAGATTGTTCTATTATATTAAAATTATTTTCACATTTAAAAAAAACATTTACAAGATTTTATACAGCAGCACCAACGTTGTATGTCATTTCTTAATAGTTTTTGGAATCGAAATTTAAAACCTTCAATTATAACTATTTTTTTATTTTTTTCACTTATTGAAAACTCCATTTAAAATTAATAATAAATAAAAAATTACACTGCAGTATACTGACGATTGACGACTGCGGACTGACGGACGACTGCTTGTCAACTGCATAATATGTTGGGAAATTTGAAATCACAAATATTATATAGTAATTATATGTTATCGCAATTGTTGTCGCGAACGGTCGAATATAAATGTAAAAATATACTCAGTCCGATTCTAAACGCGCGTATTGCATTGATACTGAAACGGTCATGTGAGATAAAATATTATTTAATTCTTGGATATTCCGATAAAAGATATCAATACAAATAAAATAAAATAAAGGTTCTGCTGTTCTGCAGTTATATCGCTTAGAATGAAATATTTTGTGTGTAACATTTCAAAAAGTATCGGGGACGCAATTCACCTATTCGGAAAAAATATTGGGGACGCAATTCACCTATCTGTGTATTAATATTTTTTTTTGGGACGCAATTCACCGGACCCGAAGTATTTAGGTACTTACAATTTTTTTGCCCTCCCCTGAGCTACATTTCTGTGGGCGTCCCTGGTTACTATTCAAACCAAGTGCACGTGTACGAAAGTAAAATAAAAAAAATGAAAACATCGCAAAAATTACGTGCGCTCAACGTCCTACTTCGCACATTTCTGCGTGATAACTGAATTCGTGAACACGGGCTCGCGTTGCCGGTTACACTGTTGCTCGTCGCTGCTCAACCGCTGCTGACGGTAGCGTCGGGCAATGCAATACACTGCGAGAAGCACGATCAGCGCGAGTGACGAGTAACCTTGCTAATTTCATGCTCACTTCTATGTTCATTGCTACAGAAGTGGGCTGAACGCAAAACGAGAAATAATGAATCCTTTGCCGTTGTCTTCAAACATATCTTTCGAAAAAAAAATGGACTAAAATTACCTTAAAATCATTGATATCATTGAACTAGTGAAACCTGAACTCAATCCTTCTTCCGTCGATTTCCCAGGAACAATCGTAAATGGTTTCAAATTTTTACTGGTTATTAACCAAAAAATTGAACAAACATATTATTTTAACAAATTCGAAAAAAAAAATCATTATTTTACCATAAGATTACAAGATCGTGATTAAAGAATTGAAATAATTTAATCTATCATCGATGGTGTCCAAATCTTGACCTACGGTTTGGTGGACAGAATTTTTACCATTTAGAATCAGTCATCAAATCTTTTTTGAGTTTATCCGGTAACTACGTTTAGTTTGCAAGATCCCTTTTTTTTTTTCATTTACACGACAAGTACGGTCGACTAATTTTCGAATTACAGCAGAAATCTATAAAAATACACTCCATCAATACCTACCACTATAGTGTTATAACGAATTATAATGTGCATACATCGATTGTATTTCAAGGTGCAAATTGTGAGTGATTATAATCATAGGCGTGCGCACGGTTGGTGCCGGGTGTGCACGGACACCCCCAGAAATGTTGTAAACGGAGCCCTATAATTTAACCATTTTAACTGATGTTTCTCAAATTTAGTGCAATTTATTCTGAAATATTTAGTAAAAATAAACATTGTTTTGTGACAGAAAAAGAAAAAATAAATGCTTAAAATTGTTGCGCAAACACTTTTTATGATAATGTAACAGCTACAATTGACTGCCATAAGTACAAATCATAAATAATTGAAGTTTTCTGAGGAAAATATACGAAATTCAATGAGAACATATTTATTGAGACTAATAAACCACAATATAAAATAAAAAATTAAAGTTATGTTTATTTAATTATTCATACATTATCATTTATTAAATATACCTACACGTTTTGTTAAGATAAGGCCCTAAAGTATTGTAGGCATCCTATAAAATACAGGTTTACGCACGCCTAAGGTTTGAATTCACTTATACAGTTAACTTATGATCTAGTTTTTCTATTTTTTAGATCGCATCGTGTTGAAAACTCCGATATCAAACCTTTTGTACCTTGGCCCGGTTCGAAACACCATTCCACTCCTGGCGATTACTACGGAACATTTGGTCCTAAACGCCCAGGTATACGAGTATTCACAATTTTAATGTGTCTACAAAAAATATAAATGTTACTTTGTAAAAATAGTTTTTTTAACTTATGTTGTGTTTATTTCAAGCAATGTCAAATCGTCGCAAAGCATCACCGACGAAAAAACCAGAGCTTCCCAATATAAAAACTAGACCGACCAACACAAGAGGCCCCGGATATGCAGATATTGGTTTATCTAAATTTCCTTTACACATGTATGTAAAAATTTTACTTAGATTTATGAACTGTGTCTAGAATCGTGAAAATATACGTGGTTAATCCTTAATGATCGAAGGATCTCAGTGGAGATCCTTGTTTACAAGAGTATAGCGAGATTACTTTATAGTGATTTCGGGGTTTTATCTCGCACTATTGTTATTCTTATTGGTATGAGTAGTTTTTCACAGTGTTATCAAAAACGTATTGTCGCACCACTTTTTGTTTATACTTTATCGAGTGCGCGATTGAATTACTGCCCCCCCCCCCCACTATAGAATGTAGAGCCAGTGTTAGGGAAAGCATGTGGGGGATATAGAAATACCTATTTTTGTAGTCGATAATCATCAAAAAATTTAGAGGTATTAGTGTTATAGAATTTTGTTTTAGAAAATAGTCAGTAAATTTGTTCGTTTATAAAACCTTCTCTCCATAAATATTTGCTTACGCCGGCAGCCGTTTATTTATCACTGTGCTGATATATGTTGTCGCGTCAATTCTTTTACTAGGGTACTGATTTGTATGTATGTACATATTTGTCATGATTTATGGTAATCGAACGATTCTGCTATAGAAATATGTTTCAGGACTGTCTAAATGTTTTAAGCTATGGTTGATACTACGTATTCTTACATATTTGAAGTGGTTTACATATTTTTTTCCTTTGTCTTATTTATTTTTGTTTAATATTCTCCTATTTTGAAAATATTACAGTTATCGCCATTAAATTTAATTAAAAATATGCTTTAAATTACCAACAGCTCTAGCCGTACGTCACGAGACTCGCTTCAGACCTACTGAATTAAAACTTTCAAATTTGCACCTATAGCTTCTGTTGACGTGGAAAGGTCCTTAATCCGTTACAAGAATATATTGCGTCTCAATCGATGTCGATTTATTTTTGAAAACTTAAAATTATTCATGGTTTCCCATTGTTTGTCGACGACGAAGATTTTATACTTCAATGAATTTACTAAAGTATATAATTAAATGTATAATTTAATAATGATATTATTGTTTTTTTTTTTAAATTTTTTAATTTTTAAATTGATCCTTATGCCCGGGAACTATGGCAACATTTACTTAATATTATAGTTAATAATCTGACGTATTATTTAAATGTATTATTATGTACCAAGCTTATAGTGCTTATTAAAAATTAAATTTTTTTTTATTTTACATATCTTGTATTTTTAATTATATATTTTGATAAAAATAAATACTTTTATCCGCACTTTTATTTAGTAGTATTGCATTTGGCTTTTCGTACGTGTAACACACTTTACTGAGCGACGAGCCTACGTTAATGCCTGTCTACGAGTATATAATTAGTATACATATATATATATAGCGTATTATAATATAGTATATTATCGTATTTATTGTATGTCTATTGCCGTGCATTCGTGATATAGGTACAATACGAGCCAAACAAAACAAAAAATGCACATACCTATATTAATTTTGGAGGACAAATAAAATTGGACACATATAATTACATGTTTAAAATGCTGTGTTGAGATTTACGAAATTTTTATTGAAATATTCAGATCATAGAAAAATAATAAATTTTTCAGCAAGATGAAGAGCATTATTTAAAACGAAGACGGTTGACTACTTTTCCTGAGACCGACGGAACCCCTATTATTAGTTAAATACTGTAATAAATATTATGCTTTTATCTAAAAAATTCTTCACAATATTTATTTTTATATTTTCTAAATCCATAACCATCTTATCGAATATGGTATTTTACAAAAATATGTTTATAGTTTTGAATATCAATATTAACTTGATTGGGATAAATGAAAAAATAATGTTTTGTTTCAAGTTAATCAGTAATGAAATAAGTTACGTTAATAAGTTAAATAACCTTAACTTTTAACTTAACTTTTAACTTATTAACTCTTTAATTCCCAGGCTTGATTATAATTATAATTGTTTCTGATGACGCATGATCTAAACACGAGTGTTTTTGTCTATTTGATAATCTTGTAATTAAATTGAAACATAAACCGTTTTCTGATAACAAATCTAAATAATCATAATTATTAGTTGTTTTTGTACTAATTCAATTTGTGTTTATGTTTTTTGTTTGCCAAGTACGTGTACCAGTACTCAAATTTAAGTTGTTAAAGACATATTTTTGCAAATTTTTGAAAACCCATACGATCAGATGAAGGTGACCTATACATCAGTGGCTTTGCCATAAGGGGAGGGGATGAGGGGGGCTGAAGCCCCCTGAAATGTTGAGAAAATTATATTTATGGTCTATGAAAATCGCTAAAAAAATAAAACTATTTAAACATTTTAGTATTAACACTTTACAATTATTTATTTGTGGTAGTAGGTATTTAATGCATATAATATTGTGCATCGGTCGCGAATTGCGAATTCAACTTCAGAGTCAAGATTTGTCGAACTCAAATTATTATCTATTCATAGATCCATTGAAATTTCAGTTAATCGAATATTTGATACATTTGATAACAGCGGAAAGGCTCAAAGGTTAAAATTGTCACTTAAATTTTTTGTTATTTAATAATAAAATTAATTAAAAATGTTAAAAAGTAATTAAATAGGTATTGTTAATGATTTTTATTCATTGTATTATATTCATGTTTATTAAGTAGAGGTTTGTTTTATTATATAAAATGTTGGTCTATTATATTATGTCCTATTAAAAAAAAAAAAAAAAAAAATCATTGCTATTTTTATTATTTTTTTTTAATATGTAATATGTACAAAATAATTTATTTTATATAACTATAAAATACAATACCCCCCCCCCACAGAAGAAAAATCCTGAATACGCCACTACTATACATACATACTACAATTATAGGCAAATTATTGATAATTAAAGAAATGTTAACAATATCATATTCTACAAAATCAAAGTCATAAAAATTAGCATTTAGATATTTTTTACAAAATTTATTATACCAAAATTTTGGTATTTTTTGTATTAGAAAACATTATATTGTAACCAGGTTAGGGTGTCCGATATTTATAAATGAACGATTTTTTTCTTCAAATTCAAGGAGTGACGCCTGGGAATCTTTTCCAATGAATCTAAAAATAAAATATACAAAATTTGAGTTTTATATAATATGATTAACAGAGCGCAAATATTTTGTGAAAAATTCCCGTTTTTATGTTTTTTAGCAGTTATCTTTTTAAATATTAAAGATACAAAAAAAATTGTAATTACTTAAATTGATCTAATTTATTTTTACTAAAATATGTGTAACTATAAATTGTTGCGTTAACTCATTTTTACAAAAATAGTTTTTACTGACTTCTAAGAAAAAAAACAAAATTTGTGCGATAATATCTAAAAAACTACAAATTTTTAAATTTTTTCTAAACTTTGAGCTTAGAGAGCGCCTTGTTAATCATATTATATAAAGCTCAAATTTTATAGATTTTATTTTTAGGCCCATAGGAAAAAATTCTCAGGCGTCACTTCTCGAATTTTAAAACTTCAAAAATAACGGGCACCCTAAACCAGGTATTTTATAGTGACAAGAAAATGTGTCATTCACGTCTTAGTCAAGATTAATATAGGTATCTGTTTTTTTTTTTTACTATTTACTTAATTTTCCAAAAATAAGAGTAATTCCTCAAAATGTGCATTCACAATTATTTTTTATTCAAGCATATAATATTAAAAAAAGAATCATCTATATTATTTATGTATGAATCATATCTGAAAAAGATTAAAAATAATTAGTTCTATATTTATGACTTTTAATTATTAAAATTAGCCATGACAATTAAACAAAGTAAATAAGATATATTATACCCTCAGGGGGGTACTAAGCAACTAATACTACGGGTTTGGCGAACCTGGGGCCCCGAGCCCCACACTGAATTTAATTAGTTGGTGTGGACTGGTCCTTTAGGTTGGGGGCCGACAACCCTACCACTTAAAAAAAAGTAAATGTTAAGAAACAACAACATTATTTTAAGTCTCGGATGAAAGAGATTACGGATTTACAAATTGGAACATGGAACGTGCGATCTTTGTTTAGGACTGGAGCTTAGACGACATCTATATCGTGTCTTGAGCGATACGAGATGGATTTAACTGCTATTCAAAAAGTGAGATGAACAAGTTCAGGTAGCTTGAAGTCTTAAGGAATGGCTCTATTTTATAACGGGGGGACAAACATGATAGAGTTGTAGGGTTTATGGTTAAAGAAAATTACCTACCACAAATTACAAATTTCAAACCTATAAATGACCGTCTATGTTATATAGAACTTAAATATAAGTGGCATAATTTGATCCTAATTAACTGTTATTCACCCACTGAAGATAAAAATGAGTTTTATGTTTTCTTGTATATAAATTATAATATGTTGTATTATATATTTATGAATAACATAAATGCTAAATTCTAAAAAATATGAGACACTGGTGGGAACAGTTGAGTTCTTGAACCGAACCCTGCACCACACTTAGTTTTTGATCTTAGAAGTTTTATATTTCAATATATTTGTAGAGTCAGTCCATATGATGTCCCAAAGAAACCAAAGAGGCAGATTGAAATACCGTATAAATCATGTTCTGGACCCAATACCTACTTTCAAAAAAATCCTTACTTTACAAAAGACTTTCAACCAACGTATCGAAAGATTCCAAAACCAAAAACTGTGGAAATACCATTTAAAGGTCCCAATAAAAAAGCTAACGTAAGTATTACAATATTTTAATACTTGTCAGTTCCTAAAAATTGTTTCATTCAAAAAAATATGCAATTTATATTCTAGTTAACTTAATGGTTTCTTATAAATTGTAGTTATGGTTAACTATTGACATTAGGGTTTTAAAATATCATGAAATTAATTTTTTTGAGATAAGTATTTTATGAAAGTTTCATGAAATATTTAATTTTGATGAAAAAAATTTAATTTAAACTGTAGTACAAAATTCAACAAACATATAAAAGTGATTAATGTTATAGAAATTGTATAGATTTTTATAAATTAGTTTGAAAAAAAGCTTTAGAACTTATTAATTCAATAAATTTCTTAGTTTATGATTTTTTAAATATTTTATAATTATTAATTATATGTATTTATAAATAATTATAATGATCTATGTATTAATATAAATTTATAACATTTACATAGTATTGCTATTTGAATTCAAATTTTAAATTAATAAAATAATATGATTTGTCTTAAAATTTATAAATTATAGCATATATTTTATTAATGTATTAAGTATTATTAATATATTAGTATTATCAACATAATTGACCATCTAGTGATGACCTTATAAATTATTTAAAAATAAATAATATCTTAATATTTCAAGAAGGGTGAAAGTTACAAAATTAACATCTTTCAAAGTGAAAATTGTATGCAAAATATTACCCAGTCTTAACACTAACTGATTATGAAATTATTGGAATATGTTTCTACTAATAAATATTGGTGTGAGTTCATTTTAAATAATTTGTATAATGCAATATTACTTAATTAACTTCGGCGGCCAATAATCTATATATTTTGGTAAATTATAATCATAAAAATTAACAAATGTGTACTAAAAAATGTGCAAATCTTAAATATTAGTCTGAACTTATAAATTCCTGTATTTAAACTTATTTGGTTGAGTATAATTTAATTTGTTCCACTATTATTTAATCGGAAAGTATTATATTATAATTTGTCAATGATGATTGGAATCGGAATTTATCAACTTATATACAAACTTGTAAAAACTGGTAAGGGAGTCAAAATAAAATAATTTATTTGATCCATGTGGGAGATACGGATTTCACTATTTGAGTGATATATTTATCAACTATAATCTATAATTACGGTATCGAGTATTTAAAAAATGTTGGTTAAAAGAATAATAATTTTTTAAAAATAACAAAATTATGAGAAACATAATTTGGTCTTTATATTTTTTAGGTAGGAAATGGTTTTGACAAGTGGCCTAAACATATAGTTGACCCTTACATTGATCCGTACAAAACTTCCCAAACATTAAAACTAAAATCAAAAAACAAAAGAAGCCAAAAATCAGCCAACAAACGAAACCCCATTCTATCCAACAAACGTAAAAAAAACATTTTATACAATTTCAACGATGAAGAGAAAAATAGAAATTTCGATGAACAACACAAATTGGGAGAGATATGGAATTACTAAACTGTAAACAGACAAGTCGTCGTAGCACCCGTAAATCATCAAGACGCTTTATTTATCTTTTTTTTTTGTACCCGATTTGTATTCGTGCCCTCCATTAAACATTTTGTAACTCTCTGCCTTTTACGCAAAACCGAATTCCTCGTCCGCGTGCTATAACAACGTCATAGTAGCACCACGCGACTGGATTAATACTTTCTGTTTTTAAGAATCTTTGTTTTTCGATTCGACTAAATGTAATAATAAATAAATATGAACAAATTACTTTAGGTAATTCTTTGCCTACAAAAATGATTTACAAAAACTAAAAAAAACTAGAATTTTTGGAGGATATAAGTTATTCGAGTCTATATAACTATGTTATATTATAATATGATTATCTATCATCGATGAGCAGTGAGAAGCAGGTCTTAAACACATCTGCACATGGTTATATAGACCAAATACCTTATATGCCCTAAACATTTTAGTGTTTTAGTTATTGTAAATCTTTTTGCAGGTGAAGAACTACCTAAAGTAATTTGTTCATAGTCATGACATTTAGGCAAATCGACAAACAAAGATTCTTACAAATAGTAAGTATTAATCCAGACGCTGGAAGGTGCGTTACCCCAGCACCCGTACTTTCGAAATCATGAATTGTAATCAAACAGTATTATGTACTTTATTTTGTACAATTTTATATAACCAAATTTGTACAAAATAAAGTACATAATACTGTACGGTTTAAAGTTGAAATTTGTAAAAAATAATTGATCCGGTTGCTGGGGTAACGTTACCACAGCACCCGTAAAGTGAAATTGAATTTCGGCGAGGTTTGAGGGTTGTACAAAATTTAATTTTGGTTGTACAAAATTGAACAAAAAAAAGTATATAATACTGCTTGATTACAAGTCATGATTTCGAAAGTACGGGTGCTGGGGTAACGCACCCGACGCTGGGTTGCTGTTATGACATCGTTATAGCACCCGGACGGGAAATTCGGTTTTGCGTAAAAGAAAGAGGGGTATACATTTATTTAAAGAGGGTACAAAGAAATGAGATAGATAATTAGGGTTATGATTATTTACGGGTGTTACGATGATCCATCTGTGAGTTTGGAAAAAATAAACCAAAATAATGAATAAAAGATAAAAATATTGTGTTATTAAGCTTTGCTAATGTAATTGGTGTACCTAATATGATATATATTATTAATATAAAACAGTACTGTAGTACTGAATAACAGCTAAATTATGTGTAATATGCCATATGTTGGTAATAGAAAAAATAACGAGAAAAAATATTTGTAAGCCCTTCAGTTAAAAAATTAATAATAGCTTATATATTGTTGTATATTGGGTATATTGGATTTTAGGCGTGCGCAGAGTTTTAAGTCGAAGGCAATGAATATTTTTACCGACCCATTATTTTTCACATAACAACGGCCTATACATGACTATTATACTGTAGAAATCTATAGTGTACTGTGTTTTTTTTAACCTATAACTTATTTAAACACAGTATAGATGAGCTTGATTGATTACATTTTTCAGACAACCAACTTATTTTTTATTGAGCATTTTACGATGTATAGCTTACACCATTAAACCCTAACAAATCTATTTAAGCCCTACAGGGGTAGCAAGAACACAGGTAGTCGAAAGTAGAATTTGTAATTTGCACCAAAATTAGTATCTGTTTGATTATCGATTATTCGATGTTATAATATTCGATTATTACTCGGTATCCTCGTCGACATCGAGACTATAGATCAAGCCATCTATAGCCAATCCAAATGATCTTGCGGACCACTTTGAAAATATATATATATATTCATTAGATAAATTTTATTGATGATATTTAAAAATGTAATTTAATAATTTATATCGAATGGATAAAATTATTTATAATGAAAAATAAATATACATCCCTTTATTGATTTTTGTTTATTATTTTTTTTTCTTAGCCAAAACCTTAAAATATTTATCTACTGAATGTCTACATAAATGTGTAAATTTTAATTTTAGCAATGGTAAGGATTAAAATCTAACATCGAAAATAACTACAGCTGTGAATCTTAATCATTTTAGAAGTGGAAAATTAACTTTTTAAACATGATAAAAAATGGTGTTTCGTCCAAATGTAGGATCCATAATTATTATTAATATATAATATAATATAATATATAATATATTATTAATATATATAATATTGATATTTTTATTTGAACACAAAATATGTTTATAATTAGCAAACTGTATATTTAACTAATAATTTTATAATTAAATAATTATAAAAATAAAATGAAATGCAACATAATTTGGCAGTGTCACTGACGCTGCGTTGAATTAGGAGTGGCAACTCATGCTTTTAATACCCGACCGGACGATATTGTTTATTATCTAATCGATAATACAATTACTATACGTACATTACATAAGTGGTAAGAATACAAAAACACAAGACCGCTACTATAATAATGATTTTAAAACAAATATTTTTATTTTTAACAATACATTTAAATAATTTATGAATCTATTTCATTAGTTATCTGACGAAATCAAAAAACAATTTAAATCATTTTAATGGAACACGGCGCATAGTATATGCAATATTGATGCATACACGCATGCATCTATTTTATAGATCTATTCAAATTAGTGGTGGGTCGTTACCGCTGTATTCGGTAACGATTACATAGATGGAACGAGTAGGAACGAGTAAATTCAGTATAAATTTATTATTTATTATTCACAAACTACAAAATGGTCCCTATCAGGCGATACTAACACTGAATACCGAATGTAAGCGCTCATATATCGGTAATACAAGACAACAAGGTATTGCTGTCAACGGCGATGGTGTCATTGCGCAGTGATTCAGGGCAATGGGTCCCAGGACGCATATTATTAGATTCTGGGTCCCATAGTAATTATATTTATTTAAGTTAAAAAAGAAACACGTTAAGCATGATTTATGCTGAATAGGAGATAGTACGCAAAAGGCATCGTCAGTGGTAGTTGCAATAATTGCAGCCGAAGACAGACAATTTACATTGACATCTATGTATTTCGTATTGAAGCATATTAACAATAATTTATCGTCAAAATTAATAGATAATAAAATTTTCATTCCATTTATTATTTCCATACCTGAAAAGATATTAGAAATTTTACCATTCTTATATTCGTTGTTTTATACTCAGATTTTCAAAATATATAAGAACTCTCACAAAATATCAATACTTACAAAAAAAAAAAAAAAATAAATAAAATAAAAAAATACAGATAAAAGAGGATTACTAATCTCTCAACGAAATTTAAAAGAGCTCAAAGGAAATTAGATCGTATTACTTTTTACAACTATTATAAACTATATAGTTTAAAATTCTAATATTTAAAAAATAAGAAAATATTGATTCTCAAGATTAATTCTAACAATAATTAGTTGACATTTAATTGACAAAAATCATATAAAAATAGGTTATGATAACTGATTTATGTACAAAAATAAAATATTTAAAATAGTACTTATAATTTCATTCGTCATAAACATAGTAAGGTCTCCTTCACATGAGCTAACTCCCAGTTGACACGACGGATACTTACTTGAGTATCGTTAGTTTGAGTTGCTTGTTAGTAGGATATCCATAAGCAACCCATCGCCATATACTGAGCTACTTCGAGCTACTGCGAAATATTTTCAGTATTCCAATGATCGAGCATTTCCTTTTAACACTTAATAATTTTTTATAATTTTTACTGTCAATATGTTGTCAAGTAAATATTCGTCAAGTGATGATAAAGTTTCCTCCTATTATTACATAAATTATAGACAGTAGAAAATCTAAAGAATGTGATGCCATTTTTACATTTATAGGAACATTCATTGTCGTGTGATGAAAACATAACAGATGGTGTTGCAGCTTTACCTTATTATAGCTTTATTTTTTTTTTGGTAAATTTCGGGCCAGACTTGTGGGAATTTTTTAAAAATAGGTACATCAGGACTAATAGTATTTATTTTTAATTTAACTCCAAAAACACTTCTTAGCACTAATTCGAATATATGTCGCCTACAAGGTAAGTATAAAAGATTTCGTCCTATCAGTTATTCCAATACAATACAGGCATCATTTAACCGACCTGTGTTTGATGCCGTCGTATCACAACATAAAGCTTGTACTTTATTTGTTTCACCCCAATCATTTAAAATATCAAATATTGCATTTGCTTGTTGTCTTGTTGTTCTCCAGTACCACTTTTGAGCTTTGGCATACCAAATAATTAAGTTATTCCCTCAAACGAAACAATTACAGGTAATCTACATACTTTTGATTTTCCATATGTAATATCTGGTAGAAGTTTTCCATCCCGATGTAAAACAAGAGACTCTTTTTCTAGCAAATTTAATTTTTTTGAAGTTCAATAGTTTTAATTTCTCGGAACCTTATTCGATCACGTTGAATTGTTGATCGGTTTATTATTAATTTAAAAACATCATTACCTAAGGCATCAACAGTTCATATTATTATATGAACAGTATCGCGATCACTTAATTTACATTTATCTAACGCAGCGAGTAGTTTAGGAGTCATAAAATCTCTTGATCTTCTCTATTTCTTACTACGTGATGGACTTGGTGGACTTGGTGTTATGTCTTCTTCTTCTATATCAATCTTCTTCATTTGAACTGCTATCAGTATTAAAATATATTTGTACGGTGTGATCTAAAAAAATTTAAATATACTTTTAATTAGTAAAAAAAATACTAAATAGTTCTTAATATGTTATTTAAATTGTAAATTTATCAACATTACTTACCAAATTGTTCAATTTCTATTTTCGCTCTTTTTCGACGTTGTTCGATTTTTTGTAAATTGACAAAGATCCTGTTTTCTTTTTTTTGCCAAATTTTTATCAGTTCCCAACATGTATCCCAGTCTTCCCTTTTCTCTTTGCATTAGTTAAACTTTTTATCTTCCTCAATTTTCATCATATATAATGCATTCGAATGAGGTACATCAAA